GTTATTCCATTGTTGTCAAGATTGCACATGCATGTATCGATACAACTATAGTATAAGCTTGTCAAATCGACTTAGTTGCTGTTGCATACATTCTCATACCAAGGGGAATATCGAAGACTCTCCGGTGGAAACAACTGATAAGACACAGAATATGGGCCGTATATGCATACGAATGGCGAATGGGAATTTTTTTCAACTAATGAAATCAAATTCGTCTTCAACACGAGACTGCGACTTTCAAAAACAAAATATTTTTTTTTTCACAAGCATTGATTTATTTCTAATATCTTTTTTTAGAGGTAAATGCCCAGAATGTGCTGACTATGTCCGGCTATTCTTCACCTTGACACCAGCCATCGTGACAATAGTTGCTCTCATAATGATCTTGTTTGGTTTTAAGACGACAGTCATGATCTCCTGCATAAATACAGGTATAGTTTTAATAATATTAGGTAAAGTCCGGCAATGACGACTGGACGGGATTTCAAGCCCGAGCAAATATTTCCAGATCAAGGCGTAGCCGAGAACTGGGACGATTTGCAAATGACGCGATATCCTGCTCAGTCCTCCGACTTGGAAGAATTTGAACGCCTCCATATTGTCATCAAGCATTTTCTGGTGAGAGGAAGCTGCCGAGGATTATAGTAACGTAGTGCAGTCTTCTTCATATTGCGCGTGCTCTTGCTCATTTCATATACTAGGTGAATTGATGATAACTTTTTGAAAAAGTGTAAAAATTGGAAACAAAAAAACTGAAATCGATATTCACGCACAACTGGAGATTTTGCATTTAAGGTTTCCCCCAATTGTCATTTCCGAGGACTGACCTAATTCCATTTCATAAAACAAAAATCCCTTTGATTTGCAGCCAACCGAGATGACATATCTACCCAGACAGATCCCAGTAGGTACCCCCCAACCCTTCCTCTTACTGACAGTATTTGGACAGTTAACGAAGAAGACGAGGCTGAATCYGTAAACCATTACGATGTTCCCCASCAAATCKCAGAAGACTTAAAAAGCAAAAATATACGTAGTCACAGCGCACCAGTACTGAACGGTATTTCACGTGACARGGGGGGTGCACCTCTGCTAATAGCTGCCCTGATGCCTAGAGTAGAATCTATTTCATCGTCAGTTCAATCCATCAAAGATAAAGCCGCTTCGAAAGCAGAGACGGTAGAACCACAGATGTCTATTTCATCGTCAGTGCGTTCTGCTGCTGATCCAACAGACGAAACGATAACWGCTCCTTTAAGAATGGAGAGCTTGCCGCTACTACCTGTTAAGCAGTCTTCTACGAGCTCTACTCAGCCATCAACAACGTCGTTGTGTAAGACAGTAGACGGTGTTCCATTGACAGCAGAAAAAGTGGTCATTTTTTCCTATGATTCGTTCGTGGCTGGGGGGATATCTGCGCACTCCTCAGTTGGCGCCCAACTGCCTAAAATCACAGGTTTACCGACAGACAGGAAGCTGTCGATAGAAAAACAGCCTGATTACAATAGAATGCCTTTACTGCCTTCCACAGATTTGTGACCGCGTTGTTGAACAGCGAGAAGCTATTGAAATCAAGGAAGCGTACTCGAGAGAGAGTATATTGAGTCGAGCRCTGGAGAGCTGCTTTTCTCGTTGTGCTGTGGGCGCAATAGTTTCACAGAATCAAATAAACTGTTCGTTAGGAAACTTACTCTACTTTCACTAGACGGACAGTAGCGGCTATTCGCGTCCAAATTTTATTGCACTATAGTTCAGTATTGGACACAATGTCTCGTATTCCAAAACTACAGACAGATCTTTTAATAGTTTTTGAACATGATTTGTTGTAAGAATAGAGTATGTTGTTTGTTGTAAAGTTTGCCTACCCCCTCCTCTACCCCTAAAAGYCCAAAGAAGATTACAACCTAGCCGCCGCAAGAAGAACAAAACTTAATTAATCAGTACTTTACAAATCAAACGTTATCGTGATGTTTTAGTGAATAAAATTGTTTATGCATTGATTAGAGTGAGGACATTTAACCCGTGAAACAGCATCTATATTTGTTTAAGGTTAGTGAAATAAACAACAAAACAAGACAATTGGCTTAGGTCAAGGGGACTAGAGTGAAGYCATTAAACCCGTGAAACAAAATTTGACTATTTCAAAAAAAAAAGTGGTTTTCTGACTTCACTCTCAGTCTTGTTCTTCCGTTTTTTATATCATTCTAAAAAGCCGATCGAAAGGTTGTTTTTCCACTTCAAGCTTAGGTCTCTTAGGAATACGGAGTCAGTCTCTATTAGGAGAAAATGTAGATTAGGTCAACGCTATTGTATTTAATATCAATCTTTTTTCGTGCATTCTTTTGTGTTTGTCGGTGTTTGGWAAGGTCTTTGMGCAARRWWAWT